CTGATATTTTTGATATGGAAGAAAAACATTCGATTTTGCAATAAAATTAGCTTTTTTGATCATTTTTACTCCCCCCCAGGCGTTTCGAAATATACTCATTCGATGCAGCGTGAAAAACTGCACCGAATGAATATATTTTCAAACATATTATATAAGGATACTAATGGAAAACAACTGAATTTATTGTAAAAAAGACCACTTTTTTCTCCTATAAAAACTGTACAAAATGCCGATTTTTGGGTACTTTCTTTAGACAGTTTTCAGTGAATTTCAACCTAAGAATCCTGTTTAAAAATTTGTTAGTATATACAGTTTTGTAGAGCTCGACGAGCTCTATCGAACCATGTAAAAATATCCAAGAAAAACATTTTACTCCATTTTTGAATTACTAGCACCTTCCTTTTCCACCACCAAAAATGTATAAAATTTCTGAAAGTTTCTTAAGTTCGATATTAAAAGGTTGACATAACCCTTACTATTTAGCATCGATAAATCCCATTTTTCACGGGCTTTCATTTGGTATAAAATTCATCATATCACCTATTTGAAATTATAGCGTTACCCCCCTGGAATAATATTTTTTCCAACCGTGTACATATTGATTTGTTGTTCTTTATGGAGAATTGGCCTACTTACAACTGTATTTATAACTATTATTTATTGTTATTAGATTTCTCCTTTTCTATTGATGAGTTTTTTTTGTATCAAGTACATATACATTTGATAAATATTTCTCAAAAGTTATAGACTTTAAATATAAAGTTGTTATTTGACTTAAGATTGGTCAGTTAAAAAGATCTAACGAATCTTGAATTTACTGCGACGGAAACTATTACGCGTAATAATGGTCAAATTAATCAAATTCATTATCAATTTGAAGAATTTACTGTTAAAAATGTGTCTCTTGGTATAACAAATAAACAAGAACGACGTAGTCGAATATACGATACGATACATATATTACACGAGAACAATACAAACGATTAGCTAAACTCATTCTAGTTACATTATCATTCGATAATTTTGTTCCTGTTTTACGTCCATTTATAATGGGATATTATCAACATGATGAATTGAAACAAGCATTTCAAGTTTTAGATAGAGACTGTTCTGGATCTATTCATATTGATGAATTGACAAGGTTTTTACCAATTATTAATGAATATACAACAAGTGATACTTTGAAAAATTATATTAGAAAAGTTGATATAAATACTGATGGAAATTTAAATTATGATGAATTTAGGTCCCTTGTATTAAAAGGTATTGGACGGGATGTTATATGTAATCATATATAACAAATATTTTCACATTAAAACATTAAAACAAATTTATTATCATATCAACAGATTTTTTTAATCCGCTTTTATATTTAATTAATATGAAAAAATTCTTTCATAGAATTTAATATTTTATTCGAATTAAATTCGAAAGAAATTTCATATACTTGTTTACATCATACCTATTTTATATCATTATTCTTTTCAGACTTCAGAATAGTTTTGTCATATAAAATATTCCAATTCTGTTTGTTTTAATTATCATCAAAGTAAAAAAAATACTCAATGTGAAATGATCATTTGAATACGATATTTAAAATTTTCAATTTAAAGCATTTCTGATGTCCTAATCAGCAAGGACTCAAATACTGGTAAATTTCACATCACGCATCAAATCTATTTGATTTTACGTTATGAATAAGCATCCATGACCGGTTTCGACCTTGCTTAAGGGTCTCATCCAAAGGGAAACAAACTGATTTCTTGATTTCATTGATTTCTGATGATTTCTTTCATTTCAAACTGATTTCTACCACTAGAAATCAGTTTGTTCCCCCTTGGATTTGGACTGAATATTTTCTCAGCGATATAGTATTTGTTTCTCCACAAAACCACATACATGTGGATGTCACAGGAATAAAAGCAAAAAGCGTTATTGTAATAATGCTACAAGCATTCAATATCAATAACTTTAAAACTCTAAATGCAGCTCGCTTATGTTTATGTGTTGCCAAATCAAGCTTTGATAAACAAATTGTACTGTCTATTTTGTGATATTGGCATGAGTTTTCGAACAAAATAGGGAGTGAACGTTTCGAGCCAAGTTGTTCCGGCTTCCATCTCCGCCCTATTACAGACTAAAGCCAGTCATGCCCATATTGCAGACTTTAGTAGCCGAGATTAAATACTACGTATTTGTCAGCCTTATTAGTCATTTAATCCAATGCTTATAATCAAGTCAAAATAATGAAGTTAGAGAAGACACGTGAGTTCCACATTTCAGCCTCTGAAGAACTGCATTAAGCTCCCCCCCCTCCTCAGAATCGACTTGCCACTTAGAACGGTCCGTTTGGGCTGAAACTTTCAGGAATGAGTGGTACTAGTGAGAAACGCTTATGGTAAAAATTTCAGCTTTAAGTACTTTACTAAATTGGGCTTTCGGCTTGTTTTATAGCTTTCACAAGAATCGAAATAACTTTATAGCTATAAGACGTATCGAGGTCAGGCTAGTTTCAAATTAAAGCTAGCCTCTGTGCACAAATTTTCATCGGACAGAATTTTTAAATTCCCTCTTATTCATTTTTTATAAGCATTTCCGAGGACATGACTTTCAAAGTAGGCCTAAAAATGGTCAACGGGCGACAGTAAATCCAACTTTTCTTAGTCCAGAAATTAAGTATAAAAAATCCATCCGATCAAAAGTTAGCTCTTGTCAAGGCCTTTAAAATAAAAAGAAAACATCAAGGACAACCCCGAGCCAAGCGGAAGTTATTTCTATTTTCCTGTCTGGAAACTATGTTTTGAGAAAAACGCTTAAGAAGTTTTAGAAATGGAGTTTTTCATTCAAATGCAGGAAATAAGGATATATTGATAATATTTATGTGCAATTTTTGAAAGCACGCAATAGATGGCGTAAGCTAGCACTACAGGTCGTACTATATGATACAAGAATGTTTATTCCATGCTGATAGAAGTAAAAAGTAGTCTTCCAAAAAATAAGAAAAACCGCGAAAATCCCTCCTAAAATCGGGCAGTGAGATGAAAATCTCCTACGAAAGTCTGTAAAAATTTGGCCTTTTTTAAAAGTTTATATATATTCTGAAAGAGGAAACTTCGCTACATCTTCCTATGATAAAAACTCGACTTCGATTACTTTACCAAAAAATGGATTTTCTGAAAGGGGGAGGGCCCTTAACAAGCTTCTGTAGCGCTTCAAAAGCGCTATCTTATTAGTGTTCTCTAGAATTTTCATAGCGCAACTTTACTGCACAAACTAAGCATTACTTACTGGTCTCCGATAAAAATCTCGTTTTTATTGAGAGTTAAACGCGAAGCCTTTTTGAAAGTGTGGAATTCATAACTATCAAAAACAACAAAGATATTGAGGAAACACTAGGAAGAACTTTATTCTGACTGGTTCCCTGGAAGTGCTTTGCAAGTAGTTGGTATCGCATGTCTGTAATATTACAACGATAACGTCTTTTATTTTATTTCATTTCTATGAGATACATCTTTTTATGACTTCGTACACAATCAAATGATCAATGTTATTAAGAAAGTCCCATCCGAATCCATGACAACTAGAGAAGATATGAAGAAAATACGGAGACCTTCATTCTTCATGTGTCACTATTACATTAGCGGACCCAAAACCAACAGAAATGGACTTTTTTTAAAAAACGTCCCCGTAGGAATAAACCCAGATCAACAATGTACATGGTTGGCAGCTGTGATGCAAGCACAAATCCATATCCACATTGCTATGCTTATTCACACTTCCCGACATTCGCACTCACACCTTCATCAGTTGAATTCCCAGCATTCAGAAACTTGATAGATTCATAGCTGCATAGAGAAGATTCTGAGTGATTGAACAATATAAATAAAAGACCTCAAAGTTACTGAATCAGAGATCTGTGGAAGTCTCATTGGTTGATTTTAATCAAAGAATTAGAGCACCGTGAAATACATCAGCATGTAAAAACTCATTCTTTCGAGATAGAGAATTGTGTTTCAAGTCACATAGACTGCAAATTTCAACATCCATTTTCTGACTATCTTTCGGTGGGGCCTTCCATCCTAAGTGTTAGATTTTAATTCCATTTGTAATTCATTTCTTAGCTGTATCTGCTGGTAATCTTTCTTTGTTGCGAAAATATATCAAGAATATATATAGCGATGATATAGAAAAATCGCATAGAGATTATGAAGAACAAAGAGAGATCTGTAAAACAAAGCTAAACATAGAAGATCAAAAATGGAGAGTATTGTTGATCGCATATACTTATAAGTGAAAGAAAAAATACTGTCACATATACGAATCTGAGAGGAAAGGAAAAATCTATGATGCACGGCCAACAACAAGTAGAGAGAAGGAAAACCAAAGTGCATAGGTATGATCATAAAGAGGAAAAATCCTTATGACTACATCTAAAGAAGACTTAGGTCACAACACGTAGTTCTATTTCTACTGGCGCATTACCCCACTGAAGTATTTTTAGGGAAATATAGCTACAATTCGAACTGTCGTCTCAAACTACTCTAGAAGAAGATGAAGAGGAGTATCCTGCCTTTCAGCTGCTTTGCGATATAGGATGCTGTCTACAAATAGTTTCGAAGGCCCAATATTTTTTTCATATATCTATTACTAGCTATAACTCTGGAAAGAAAGCTGGTTGGCTCAGAGTTCCTTCCGGTTAGTCACTTAAGCTCACCGCGCAAGTTGACTAAGTACATAATAGCCACAAGGGCTTTTGAGTATGTCAATCACGTAGTCAGAGAGGTGTCATATATCCTAAAAATCAGGAATGCTGGAGAAGTGTACGAAGATGTAGGAGATTCCAAACGATCTGCCAACAGATGATTACATTATGGGTGTTCTCACATGTGTTGGCGTTTTCTTCCACAACCGCACTAAAGAGATGTGGCTGTATATGTTTCCGTGTGTGTTCGCGTTGTTACCCTCATCCATACTCGTGACATGTGATTATATGCCCGTGAGTGCTCGTGTTTCTTCCCTTATCCTCGCTATAGATATGTTTAGAGATGTCGAATCTTCTGGAGAAATGTGCTTGGAGATGCGGCATCTCTCACCTGGGTCCTTGGTTAAAAATAAAAACAAAATTTTATCGGAAGATGCTGGGAGATAACGATATGAGAGATGCCGCATCTATCTGTGGAGAAGTGTGGGAAATGCGGGATCGTTACAGAAGATGTGGCATCTACTGCGGGAGATGGATCTCCCGCTGGTGTTTCAGGTTAAAAATAAAATAGAAAATCTTCATGCTCTTCTTCCGAGGAAATGCGGCATCTCCCGTAACGATATTTCCAAGCATCGCCTAATGAAAGGGTTTTTCAGTTTATAGCCTGGGATCCCAGCCGAATATGCATGTCCCGCAGGAGATGCAGCATCTCCTGCATCTTCCTGCACTTCTTCAGCGTCCCCAATTTCCTGGGTATGTGACACTGCTGCGCAGTCAATGAATCATCGAATGGCAAACTATCCTACGAAGGCTAACTCTCCAAAACGCTAATTTCTATAGCTCTTGATCTATCAATGTAGTTTTCAGAGAAATTAAGTTCGGTTTTGGGTTCCTCCCTCTAAAAACCAATGTTTGATTATGATAGAACATCGAACAATCGCTTTTCCATCAATCAGACCGTAGGCAAATCGATCAAAAATATCCATTCTTTGAGCTATGCTTTCGGGATTGCGAATGACTTCATTTCACTGTTTAACAATGTGAAGAATAGAAATATGCTTTTGCTTATATCGATACAGCATAAATAGTTAAATATAGAGAAGAGACTTGACACAAATGGTATTACATGTGAAGTCCAGTAGTTCAGTGGGTTGATGTAGCAAACTGACACTGAAACCCAAACCCAAACACAATACTCAAACCCGAACTCAATACCCGAACTCACCAAACCCCAACGGTTTGGGTTTGGTGCATGCCTATTACAGGTTCGACAGTGTCACTAACGTCAACTTTATCTGAGGTTTTTCCACGGCGTGAGTGTGAAGTAGGATAGGATTAACTCATTCAGACATATACGTGCGCCGGCATCGACACTCATACTAAAAAGTACCCTAACACCCAAATTAAACTTTTATTCAATTTGACATGATTGGCATTTAACCTTGCTCACATTGGGTTTTCTGTGGCTTACTGTTCCATTATTCGCATTTGTTTTTCACCATAGATTTTGATTCACGGAATCTCGCACCGCTATGACTCGAAGAAGATAATATAAACAAAAAATAATAAAAATAATGTCAACTTGTTTATGATAAG